TACTCGTAGGTTGTAGAGTTCAACGGCCACAACTGGGCCGAGGCCCCACGCGTAAACAGGCTTGTATGAAGCGCCTGAATCTGGACGTGTGTTATGCCGAGATGCAGAAAAAAGCACATCAAGCGTGATTTTCTGCACCTCACATCAATCGTGATTTTCTGCACCTCTCCACAAACACGTCCACATTCGGGCTTTAACTCCAATGCTCTTTGCCAGTGTGACCTCGCCCTTGGACAGTCAAAGATGGATCCCCGGCGCCCTGGAATACCATCTTTCAACTGGACGGCCCCTCGTAAATTCAGCCCTATTCTCGGAAAAAAAAAAAAAAAAAAGGTTCAGCCCTATTACTACTCATCAGATTGATTCCACTGGGATTGGAACTGGGGTATGTATTTCAACAGTTCATCGGCGTACCAACGGAGCAGGGGCAGGTGGTGGTCATCTGCGTTTTCTCCTCTCATCAGGTTTGCCCAGATTTGCCCTATCTCAGGGCAGAATCACACTAGCACTTTGATGAAAGTATCTGAGCGCAATCAGCCCCCAGCGTGGAAGAATGTGACCGTAATCACGTCCAGAGCAAAAAACTGCTACCTTCTCCCACTGAATACAACGTAATAATAAGGTCATTATAGCTATGTATTTGGGGTATCTTTCAGTCTAAATACAGCAATAAGGAATGTGCGTTGTATTTGGATTAAGAACGTAGTGTGAGTATGCCCTTAGCGACCAGAGAGCACAAGAGTGCAATCGAAGGAGGAAAGCGCACTATCTTCCCCCGGAATAGAACGTGCAGTCATTACAGCTGTATTTGGTCCTGCTTTCAGTGTAAGGTACGGGGATAACGACCATCCGTTCTATTTGGGTGAAGACGGCAACTCCAAGAGATAGGGGTGGCGAGGAAGTAGGGGGAGAGGGGGGGGCGGGGGGGGGGGGGGGCAGAGAGAAAAAGAGAAGGGAAGAGAGAGAGAGGGGAAGAGAGAGAGGGGAAGAGGGAGAGGGGAAGAGGGAGAGGGAGAGGAAGAGAGAGAAATACACCAATTTTTTGTTCTTACTTAGAGAGGGTTGATTCGTTGATCAACCAAAGTGAGAGAGCGGGCTTTCTTTTCCAGAGACTCGTTGCGAAACAATAGCCTACGGTCTTCGCCCGAATAGAACGCCCGGTAATTATGGCCGTAGGTGGACTGGAAGTTGCACCAAATACAGCTATAATGACCGGGCGTTCTATTCGGCGGGTGAAGACTGACGGGCAGGAGACTTGAGTCACGCAGTCTCATTCATTTGCAAGCATGATTGACGCGATACACGTCCATACACGCATCCGTCCATCAACTCACCGTTCTACTTGGCACGTCGATACACGCATCCGGTCACTGATTGGTTGACGACAGGATCAGCCGGCAATCACCCCGATTGATTAAAAATGAGTCTGCAACTAATAACCACTCTCTCTCTCTCTCTCTCTCTCTCTCTCTCTCTCTCTCTGTGTGTGTGTGTGTGTGTGTGTTTGTGTGTCTCTCTCACACACACACACGCACACATTCTCTCTCCCTCTCCCACACATACGCATGTTCTCCCGCACACACATACATTTTCTCTTCCTCTCTCACACGTACGGATGCTCTCCGTCTCACACACGCATACATTCTCTCTCTCTCTCTCTCTCTCTCTCTCTCTCTCTCTCTCTCTCTCTCTCTCACACACACACACACACACACACACACGCACGCACGCACACATTTCTCTCTCCCTCTCCCACACATACACATGCTCTCCCTCACACGTTTTCTCTCCCTCTCTCACACGTACGCATGCTCTCCGTCTCACACACACGCATACATTCTCTCTCTCTCTCTCTCTCTCTCACACACACACACACACACACACACACACAGGCGGGATTGCAGATATATTTCGGTGCGACAACCATTTATTATCCGGCGATCCACGCATTGATCCGTTCATGTCAATCTCGCTATCACCTGTATGCTCATCTATCTATCTATGTATATAACATCCACCACTCCGCACCTATACGAGCTTCCATCCGTTTCCTACCCTGCTTTGTCCGAGTCCCTACCTGTACCTCATTGCCTTTTTCTGATCTCTACCCTCCTCTCTCTCTCCTCTCCTCTCTCTCCTCTCTCTCTCCTCTCTCCTCTCTCTCCTCTCTTCTCAATCGCGATTGTCGTTCCGGTCCCTCGTTTCAAATTCCGCTTCCAATTATTCCCACGGCGTCGTTCCATTATTCGTCAAATGTGAAATGGCGACTGTATTGTGCAAAAAAACTCGCCTAGATACATTGGACATTTTTTCGCATTTGGCCAGTTGTGGAGGGAGGGCATTGAACAGAGTTTCTTAGGGCGTACTCACACAAGGACTTTTCCTGGATGAACCGCAATTACGACCCGGCAAGGGTGCATCTTATCTTACCGTAATTATGTCCAGAGCTGAGTAGAAAAAATCCTTCAAAAAAAAAAAGAAAAGAAAAAAAAATCCTACCGGTAGCGTGAATCTGCCTTTATCCGGTCATAAAATCCGCAACGATCCATCAAAGACTGGAGCGCCAAAAT